TTAGCACCCTCTTCCCTCCCCCTCCCCCCAAAAATCAAATCCTCGACTCTGTAATAATTTTTCATCTATGAAACCCCTGAAATGCTGTTCATTCACACTATATAAAACCCAAACGCATCCAAGAAAAGGACAAGATTTCCATTTTAACAAACTGCATTAAAAAGGCAGTCCTCCATTTGCACTGAGGCTTGCAGATCATCCAGAACTCTGCAGCCCGTGACATGCAGAAGCAGTCTCCCAGCTACAGATATACACAATGGACTGCTCGGAGTACTACAAAATTAATCACTTTTCCCCTCGTATCAGCTTGAGAGTTCCTGAGTCGGATGCAGATCTATAGATAATAATAATAATAATCCTTGCATTTGATATAGCATTTTATCCACGTTTTCGAGATGTCTCAAAGTGTTTCACAGAATATTTTTGTGGGCAAAGCAGTGTTAAGATGCAGGTTAGATTGCTTGCGCTGTGTACCGATGATAGACTTTAACTCCAACCTTAGCTGAAAGGGTAACTCTGACTACGCATTCTCTGACTGATTGTGGCGGACACCAACTTTTGCTTGGACACTTGTAGTTTAAGACAAGACAGGGAAGGGTGAAAGGCACAATGGTCATTCTCATCTCTCTTGTGTGATGCAAGTTAATCTTGTGTCTTACAAGACACATATCTAAATAATTATTTAATGGATCCAAGCTCCTGTGCACACAGTCCGTTTACTATAGTCAGGAACAAACAGAAAGGTAGATTTGTGGTCAAAGAGGGAAGCTGCTGCAGGGAGGGAGGGATCCGGAATTCACTGACTTGGTCGGGGCTGCACAGAGCTTTGGATGAAGACAGCCTTTCAAGCCACTTAATGTTACCCTTCCTGAATCCTCACCCTACTGTCCACTTGTTACAGCATCAACAACAACAACAACTTGGATTTATATAGCGCCCTCCAAGCCGAACGGCATAGTGGCTGAAGGCACGGCCGCCAAGGGTGGAGCGGAGGACTCGGGGGACGAGGAGGAGGCCAGACCCGGAGAAACAAAGGTAATGGGTACTGTTTTGAGGAGAGAGGAGGTCAGAGAGGTACGGAGGTGCAGAGGAGTGGAGAGTTTTGAATACAAGGTTGAGGATCTTGACGTCAATCCTCTCTGCGACAGGCAGCCAGTGCAGTCTGGCAAGGACTGAGGTAATTGGGGAGCGGAGTTTGGTGTAGGTGAGAATGCGGGTGGCAGAGTTTTGAATGATCTGGATTTTATGGATGGTCGTGGATGGGAGACCGGCGAGGAGGACTTTAGAATAATCCAGCTGAGAGGTGACAAAGGCAGGATCAGGGTTTCAGCGGTTTTCGGAGAGAGGTATTTATCGGAGAAATCAAGCTGTTTCTTAAATGAATCCAGTGTCCTGGCTTCAGACCACCTTCCTGGCAACCTGTTCCAGTTATTAATTACCCTTGGGGTAAAGAAATATGGTACATTGTATTGTCTAACTTGAAATTGCTCTTCAGAACCCCTGAATCTGTGCCCTCCTTTTGTGCTGCCTCGGCTTATCCCAATGTAAGAAAGAGCTTTCATCTCACCATTCTGTACTTCATTCAGGCCAACATCCCAGAGGTGAAAGGACATTGTGATTGGTACTGCTATACTCAGTCCTATTAATTATGGACTGCTGCCAAATTAGAGCCACAACTTCATTATTTGGACTCCTGCAGCTTCCTTGAAAGAGTTTTTTTCAATTCTTGACTTGGAATCGCTGATATAGTCCACCAAGCCAAGGCACATCAAGATTGGTGTGACTATAGAATATGACTGGCATCAGCTACAGGGAAGGCATAGACCCAAACTCATCACAGTGAAAGGGGCAGCAGATACTGAGGGGCTGGAAAGCAAAGAGTAAACAAAAATAAGTATGCAAAACTGAGCAAGTCATTGCTCACCAATCTGAAATGATGAGACCAGCCATTTACTTTGTGAATTCCTAATGAATTTGAAAATGAAACAATTCATGAGTTAAACTTTTTTGATCTTCTGAATAAGTTAGCTGTTATATTTTTATAGTCATATTATACCAGAATAAACAGGTGGAACAGATTTGATGGGCTGAATTGACTCCCCCTCCTTTCCTACACAAGAAAAATGTCAATTTAAAGATCTCACTGTGGCATTGACAAAATCTGTTATGCTACAACAATAATTCATTGCTGATCATGAGCAATCTAGAATAGATCCCCTTTTTCCCATTCACAAAGTAAGAACACCCGTTTATTCAAATATTAGTTATATAAAAGGCTAATGCTTATTGATGTGATGCAGTCAAGACATTTTGGTGATGTGTGAGATTGTGTCGAAATCCTTCACTCAGTTTCAGCTTATTTGTGCTCTTTATTTGTTGCTAACCAACTTTGCGCACACTTCTCCCTCCACTCCCTACTGAAACCCCTCCAGTCCGGTTTCCGCACTGCCCACAGTACAGAGTCAGCGCTCGTGAAAGTCACAAACAATGTCCTAATGTCCTCTCTATCTATGACCAGGGCTACCTCTGCTTCCTCATCCTTCTGAACCTCTCCACCGCATTGTGACACAGTCGATCACCCTATCCTCCTTCTCTACCTGTCCTCCATCATCCACCTCAGTGGGATCGCACTCGCATGGTTCGAGCACTACGTTACAAACCACCAACACTACTTTTCTGCAAATGGTTTTTCTTCTCACATCCACCTGGTCACCTGCGGGGTATCCCAAGGCTCCATCCTTGACCCCCTTCTCTTCCTCATCTATATGCTCCCTCTCGGTGATGTCATCCACAAACACAGGGTTAACTTCCACATGTATGCGGATAACACTTGACTCTACTTCTCCTCCTCCAGTTGCGAACTTTATTTCTCTGATGTTCTGTCAGCTTGTCTGACAGACATCAAGGCCTGGATGAGCACAAACTTCTTGCAGTTAAAACATCAACAACACAGAAGCCGTACTCTTTGGCTCCCGTCGACGCCTTCTCTCCTGTGGTTCCGACCTCCTCAACCTACCCGATCTGTCCTTAAGACTCTCTGAACTCATGCGCGACTTAGGCGTCAGGTTTGTTCCCCAGTTAACCTTCCTGCCCCACATCTGGTCCCTGGCCAGGACCACTTTCCTCCACCTCTGCCAGATTGTCCTTCTCTGATAATACCTCACTTCACAAGCTGCCGAAACCCTTGCTCATGCCTTTCGTCACCTCTAGGCTGGACTACTCAAATGCCCTCCTCACCGGTCTCCCATCCTCCACTATTCACAAAATTCAACTCATCCAAAATTCTACCTCCTGCATTCTCACCGTCTGCATTCTGCACCTCGATTACCCAGGTCCTTGCCAAACTCCATTGGCTCCTGATCACAGAGAGGATCGACTTCAAGATCCTCACTTTAGTGTTAAATTCCTCCATGCCTTGGCACCCCTCTATCTCTCTAACCTCCTCTCCCCACATAGCACTCATAGCCTCTGCTCTACTGGCTCCAGCCTCCTACTTGTCCCTTGAATCCTCCGCTCCACCATCGGCGGCCGTGCCTTCAGACACTGCACCCCCAAGCTATGGAACTCCCTCCCTTAATCCCTTCTCCTTGTCCCATCTTTCCCCATTTTCAGGTTGTACCTGAAGTCCTTCCCGTGCCGGCTCGGCATCGAGCTCCACCATTGTTAAGCGCTCTGGGATGCTGCCTGGCATGGAGGGCGCTGTACAATAATAATCGTTGCATTTGATATTGTGCTTTCCACGTCTTCTAGACGTCTCAAAGCGCTTCACAGAATATAAATGCAAGTTCTTGTTGTTGTTGTCTTGATGCATATGAATCACAAGCTGGTGTCTATTTTGACTGAGAACAACAACAACAACAAGATTACATTTGTATAGCGCCTTTCACGTTGGGAGGACGTCGCAAGGCGCTGGGAGCATGAGACACCAATGTGTGACTGATATTTGTTTTGTGTTATTCGACTAAAGATGCAGTAGAGAATATCTCATTAGAAGCAATGGGTTGCTCTTTTGTGTAGATGCCACAAAATATAAATAATTCAACAGCATCAAACAAAAATGAGAGCATTACCGAATTTGCTCTTTTCACGAGCATCCAGTCATATGTGAGCAAGTGGCAGTGTGAGGTACAGTGAGCTCCATCAAATAGAAATATGGACAGTTAGCAACAAGATTCATCAGGCAAAAGATTTAGCAATTATTTTCTTTTAAAAAAAAGTCAATGCTGCATTTTGTCTTGATTGGATAACAGGTTACAATAATGGAGGAAAAATCCTTGATGTGACAACATGGAGCAATCACCGATAAGACACACACTTCATGGCTCATTACCACCATCAGAGCCCAGGTACAAACAAAACACTAATAAATTCAAAGTGATGCACCGACCCGTTTGTTCATTTAACTGGCTTCTCACGCTTCCTCCTGTGGCAGCTCTCATGACTGGACTGATTGTAAGTTTCGGGGACACTGGGTGGAATGTTTAAATAAAAGGCCAGCAGCAAGAGATAAAAAAAATCCCAATGTGATTGACTCTGCGAGAGCCAATAATACCCCCTTCATAGTGCCATGATCTTATGCGGGTTCAACCTTTGTGAAAGAGAAAAGCTTTTTTTATCAGCACTTTATCACAACAAAACATCTCACAACGCTTTACAGCTCAGTGTTGGAAAGGGAAACTTCTATCTTGGAACAAGTCAAGAAAAAGCCATTTGGTGACTGAGGTGATTCTTGTAAAGCATCAATAAACCTCTAATCTCAACCCAGCATTTGGCTTCAAAACACCATTACTTAAGACTGTTTATATAGAGGCAGCTTCACCTGGATCATAGCACATAAAATAAGATACTTCATGTCAGTGAATTCAAGATTTATAAAACACTGGCAGGTAATCCTCAAACAAGGGAAATTTGTTTTGAGTCCAAACTCGAAAGGGAACCAGAATATGTGTTGTGATACACATAAATGTGAAAAAAAATAGAAAGTAATATTCAAAGCCTACCTTCCTTCAAGGTACATTCTGTTGTCGTCCCAGGACAGAGATCTGTTGATAGTTAAGAGAGAAGACAATTATGGATCTTTTATCAACATCTGCAACTTTCTTTTAAAAGAACTAACATCGAAACTGCAATAAGATTGCAAAAAGTGTTACTGCTGTATTAATAGGAAAAGGCTAGTTCAGTGTTATTCGGCAGCGTAGGCTTGCATTCCCTCTGCTTTACAAGGGAACATGAAAATTATGTCACATGTACCTTCATACACCTAGTTTACTGCTGCATGCAAATGCAATATATCAACTCAAGCAAGATATTTCTAACTAGGAATTTCATTTTGGTGATATGCAATTCAGAAAATCTGTCAGTAAAGATGCATAATTAGAGCTTTTCAGAAAAATAATCAAAGGGAAATAAGACTATGTAAAATGCTGGAGGAGAAATCCAGTAGCATTTATGCTTTTAACACAGGATTTGTAAGAACTCTTAAACCACCACTTTACTGATAAATAGCTGTTCTTACATTTCCAGAAATAAAAGATTCTTTATTTTGATGCTCAGTTTTCTATGCTTCACCATCGCAGGTCGTTCATCTCCACACCCCTCCCCCTTAGGGGAGTAACAAGGCGATCAGACTGTTGAGACTGTGGTCAGACAGGGCTGCTCCAATGACCAGTGAACGGCAGGTATGGCTGAATGCAGGGCAAGGCAGACAATGTCCATCTTTGTTCTTATCCTCAACCTTTCTTCCTTTCCCAGAGAGATAAAACTACTGCCTTCATTCAGTGACCAGGTTGATAAGAATTGATGAAATGCACCCAAGCAAGTGAGCTTGAGCGACAGGTGAGGCCGGCTTTTTATTGTGAGGTGACTGAGCACTGGCTGCATCAGGGTTATCCAAAGAACATTGCTTGAAGCATTTCTATGAATTTTATGGATTAGCAGGAATATCTCAGTTGCTAATACAGCTAAAAGAATATTGATCCCTGCAGAAAGATTGATCTGACTCATGGGTAGGAGAAAACTTTGCTCAGAAGAGTAGCACATCAAGCTGCATTTTTCTCCTGACTTACACTTTTGCTCTGTTCTGCACAGTTTGTTTGATGCTATAATAAGTGTTTTTGAATAATAATAATAATTATTATCCTAGCATTTGATCACATCAAATGCTTATTTGACCATTGAGGCATCTCAAAGTGCTTCATAGGATATACTGTAAAGTGGATTGACTGTGTATTTAGTGAGCCTTTATTTAGAGATTTGCAGATAAATCATGTCCCACTATATCAGTACTGCCCTTGTTATTGCCTCAGATTATTGTTCCTTAACCTTGCGGGGAACACAGAAAGGTGGGACCAGCTGGGAGTAGCTATGGGATTGACAAAGAGCCCATTAAGTAACCATTCAAATGTTGGACAGTTTCCAAGTGGCCTCGTAAGCATAATCTCTGCTACATTCACAAAGCAAGTGGAGACTTCCTGCAATTGTAAATAAATCTAGCTACTCCATATTAACATATTCAATTTTGATTGTTCAACATTTGCTTTTAAAAAAAATCCTGCCATTTAAATATATTATTGGAGAGCATTAATTGACAAAGCCTTCTCTCCATGGCTGGTGTTGGCCATTTTACAATTAAATACACTTCTAAATGACTGCAAGAGAAGTTTGGAAAGAACACTGCGTTCATACAAAACCATTAAAATGATGGAAAAGGATGTCCTCCCGGTGTGAAAGGTGCTATACAAATGTAATTTGTTGTTGTTGTCTCCCAGTGCTAACAATAAGAAATATGGGCATAGAGCAAGAAGTGAAGATCTGAGGGGGCTCCCAATGCAAATTCAAATGAATAGGTCGTTAGAAGATGTTTTACATAGATTTACACAACAACAACAACAAAATTACATTTGTATATCGCCTTTCACATCAGGAGGACATCCCAAGGAGCTGGACAATCAGTGTTTTGGACCCGAGTTGGGAGTCAGGATCGGGGAGGGTGGAGAGCAGGGCGGGAAGGAGGATGACTGAAAGCACGATTAAAGAGGAGGGTCTTGAGATGGGTCTTGAAGGAGGCGAGGCGGAGGGACTGCGGGAGTTCCAGAGGATGGAGGCAGTAGCTGAAGGCTCGCGCACGAATGATGGGCAGGCGTGGCGGGCAACATGAAGCAGGCTGAAGCCCACTTAGCGGAGGTAATGGACAGGTTGATAGGGGATTAGGAGGTCGCAGATGTAAGCGGGTGCAAGGCCATGGAAGGCTTTGAAAGCGAGGACCAGGAATTTGAATTGCATCCTTTGTTTGATATGGAATCGGGCGAGAATGGAGGTGATCAGGTTATGGAGCTGGGTGAGGGAGAAGACATGGGCTGCAGAGTTCGGGATTATCTGCAACCTGTAGAAGGACGAGTCTGGGAGGCTGACAAGCAGGGAGTTTGTGTAGACGAATCTGGATGTTATGAATGCGTGTGTGAGACGCTGGCGGAGCTAAGCGATTTTGCAGAGGTAGGGAAAGGCGGAGAGGGTCATGGCACTGATCTGGGATATCAAGGTCAACTGAGGGTCGAACAGGTCGCTGAGGTTCTGTACTGGTTGCATGAGATATAGAGTGCATCCATGGAGGAAGATGCTGTCAGTGCCTGAGGTATGGAGGCACTGACAGGAGCCAAGCAGAAGGGCCTCAGTCTTGTTGACATTCAACTGCAGGAAGCTAGCTCATGGGGAAGTTGCGGATGATGTTACCAAGGAGGAGCATATAGATATTGAAAAGGAGAGGGCGAAGGACAGAGCTCTGAGGGACGCCACATGTGACGGTGCGGGGGCTGGAGAGAAGCCGTTAATGGTGACAAAGTGGAGATAGTAGGAGAGTTGGATTCGAACCAGATGAGGGCAGGTCTGCAAAGATTGAGCAGAAAGGAGAGACAGTGTAGGAGGATAGAGTGATCAACAGCATTAAGGACAGCAGAGAGATCGAGGAGGACAAGGAGGTAGAGAGAGCCCTGATCACAGATGTTCAGAATAACATTGATGACTTTGACCAGGGCTGTTTTTGTGCTGTGGGCAGCACGGAAACCTGATTCGAGGTGTTCAGAGAGGGAATGGCGGGAGAGGAAAGAGCAAAGCTGGGACAAGACAACTCGTTCCAAGGCCTTGGAGTGGAATGGGAGGTTGGAGATGGGGCGATAGCTGCAGAGTAGCGATGGGTCCAAGGAAGGTTTTTTGAGGATGGCGCTGATGATAGTTGTTTTTAGGGTGGTGGGAACAATGCCAGTTGATAAGGAGAGGTTGATGATGTTGACTAAGAGAGTGGCCAGGAGGTGGAGATGGGAGGTGAGGAGAGGGGTGGGAATGGGGTCGAGGGAACAGGTGGTGGGCTTCATTTTTGAAATGGTAGAGTTGAGGGAAGAGGGGGAGACAGGGTCAAAGGTGTATAGGGAGGGATGGGTGGGGTCCAGGGCATGAGGAAGAGGGATTGGAGATGACTGGTATACCAGGGAGATTTACGGGACTATGAGGCAGTTCAGGAGCTGAGCAGACCAATGGAATTATGGAGAAGAAGAGGGAGTTGTGGAGGAGAGAGATCAAGAAGGGTAGATCATTGCAAAAGGAGGGCCAGAGGGGCAGGAGTTCAGATGACTCCAGTGCAGCAGAGAGGGAGTGGGGGGGATATTTTTTTCTGGGTGCAGTAGCTGATTGAAGTGGGTTGAGTGTGGGGAAGGGGTACGGAGATGTTAAGGGAGATGAAGTGGTGGTCTGAGATGGCTTTATCAGTGATGGCGATGTCCGAGATAGTGAGGCCCGGGGTGATCACCAGGTCAAGGGGTGACCATGGATATCAGTAGCGGAGTGAATGTGGAGGGAGAGATTGAGGGAGGAGAGGAATTCAGCAGAGGTAGAGCAGGGGGCATTGAAGTGGAAGTTGAATTTGCATAGGACGAGGAGGCATTTGGAGCAGAGGAAGAGGGAAAATAGGGGCAGGGAGATGTTGGGGAGAAAAGTGGGGAAGGGCTTGGGCGGGCAATAAATAAGGAGAATTTTGAAGGAAAGTTTGGAGGGGTAGTAAAGGGGAACATGCTCAAAGGAGTGGAAGTATCTGGAGGAGTAAGGGGATAGGTCAAGTGGGGACCAGTAGATAAGAGCCACACTGCCACCATGGCAATTAGGTTGTGGGATGTGATGGAAGGTGTAGCCAGGTTATGTGGCCTCTGTCAAGGGGCAGGTGTCACCTGCAGTGAATCAGGTTTCAGTGAGGGCGAGGATATCAATGTTTTCGTCGACAATGAGGTCTTGGATGGTGAGCATTTTATTGTAGAGGGAGCGGATATTTTGTGCGCCGATGCAAAGGGGACAGTTGGTGGTGGAGGAATGTGGGAGATAAGGCAGTAGGGGGAGGGGGATGATTGACATGGAGGGTGGGGATGTGGATCAGGGAGGAGAGGTTGGCCGCCAGGGTCAGGAATCGATGGGATGAGGCAAGAATGGGGGATAGTGCAGTCAGAGTGGCTGCTGTTGGATAACCAGCAGTGTCTGCCATGGTGGGTCCAGTGGAGGATTCGGAGGCTGGAACAGAGGGAGGCTGTGAGACGGTCGAGCAAGGATAGGAGTCAGGGAGGATGATGGGAGAGGAGGACCTAGCAAGAGTAGTGGAGGGTAAAGGACAGGGGTGGGAGCACTTTAGGGAAGCAGCTGGGGACAATGGCGGCAGCTAAAAGCCAAAATGTGCACGCCAACACTAGTCTGTGCTGGTGTTCATACTCCACTCTCTCCTTAATCCCTCCTGCACCTTTATAATCCCTTTGCCCTCATGTGAAGGTCTAGCTTTCACTTAAATGTATCTACACTAACTGATTCAACCAGTGCTCCAGGCAGCGATTTGCACATTCTCACTGACGTCTGCATGAAGTATTTCCTCCCAAATCCTCTTTTAGATCCCCTAGTCGCTATCTTACACTTGTGTCTCTGGATTAAAATGTGAAAGCTTGACATTTAATGGCGGCACGGAGAGATCATGGCACAAGCAGTAAACTATATAACACAGAGAGAGAGATCCCTTTAA